TGGGAGAAAATGAGTTTTTTCTGTGTTTTTTCTTACCTCCCCGACCCCCTCCCCCAGAAAGTACAATTTGTTATGTAAAGCCAACGTGTTTGTATTTTTGGAGGTGAGCCGTACAAATTTGGTTGTCTTGAATGGCGCCCTCTGGTTTTTCTCAAGGACTTAAAGCATCTAAAATTGCTCTTAAAATGAGAGCTTAAGCATTTGCATCATCATAACTCACACGTTTGAGTTTGTACTTTTTTTTCAAACTTACAAAGTTAATGGACGGACATGGGCTTGTATACACAGAGCATCAAAACGTAACCCGGAAATAACGTACACCCTTGTCATAAATACGGGCCATATCGATTTTAAAGCTCAACAATTGCACAGTTCAATATCAACGATTTGCATTTTATAGCATATTATTATGGGGGGGGGGTAACTAATCATTTCTTGCAATTTGCCCTATTCGTTTTTTTAGCATACCGATTTTTATTGCATTTTGCCTTACACAGTACAAATGCAGATATTCATTCTCAAACAGTTGTTTTCACGAGAGCTTGTAGCACCTTTAATTTGGGATCGAATGGCCCACTCTTACACAGTACAATGGTAGAGTCTCACACAGTTGTTTTGACGTAGGTTTTCTATTACCCATTTGGACGATGTAAATCTATACATTGGATATTTTCCTTAAAAGTGTATGACATATTATGCACGGAGTGCTTATGAAATGATGTCGGCGGGTGAAGGACAAGAAGCAATTTTTCGTATGTTATCTAGACGAGAGACGTTGCAGGGGATGCTCCATCGAAGACAGGGCAATAGTTCAAAGGTTTGAGCAAATGTCAGTCTGATAGGCCCCCTTTAACTGTACACACACTTTCTTGGAGGGAGGGGGCTTTCAAAGCCTGTGGTATTTATTATTATTGTCATTTTTATCATTATTATTATTTATTTCTGTTTATGACAACAAGGATTCCTCAAAAGCGCCCTAGGCACTGTAGCTCGCAAGCCTGAAGAAACCTGTAGAGTTGATGACGAACTTGGAGCCAAGTTGTTTACATAACTTTATTCAGCAGTTTATGAATTTGATGCATCAATTCCATACGCAAAAAGTAGCCAAGAGTGGGACTTGAGTTTGTTTTACAAACTTGTCTGATCAGGCTGATCCCAAATTCACAAGTACTCGTAGGCAAAAGAATATAAAATGTGTCCCGTATTTGTGAATGAAAAATTCTGGTGGTCGGCACTTTTGACTCCGTTGTGCGCTGGAATGACGATCGCAAAATGTATGATTTATCAAGTTTTGTCCAAGCCATTCAGTAGCAGCGACCTGTGCTCTGGGAAGTCACAGTCTGTAGCAAATTACGTTTACACCGAAAAGTTTCACTTTTATATCCCAGCGACGTTAGGTCATCTTATTTTTATGTATACGTTGCTTGTTAATCTGAACTGATCATAAGAAAATTAGTTACATGCATATTATAATCATCACATTTACAAAATGCACCATTAATTCTAGACTGTTATATCCCAATCAACTCAATTATTCATTGGATTAATGAAGCAGCTCATTGTCCGAGTGTTACTGTCCGTCGGATCGCGGACGGAGACTGTGATCTCGAAGAATGACTACCCTAAGATGAGCGCCGCAAAAATAAATCTAGCGCCCTCTTTTGCCTGAGATAGATTTCATGCGAAAGTTTCATAGGGGCCCACTTGCCAGTTTTGTGCGAGAATAACGTGTGGTTTACACGTTAATTTCAGTTTAACCAGTGTTGGTAGTGTCTTCAGGCCACATTTGTCTACACAGTATTCTAGAATAATCGCAATTCACATGATCATTTGCATGTGAAAAAAGTCATAATCTTGACATCGAAAAGGTCGTCAGAAAGTTTTTCTTTTTTTTTCATTTTCAAAACGTTTTTTCACTTTAGAAAAGTATAAGTGCACACAATTTTATCGTCATGATCAGTCGGCCTTCGATAAGTCTAGCGAAGTAAATCAAGTCTGGTTCACCGTGGCAATTAGTATATTTAACTATTCCGGTTGGTCAGCAAAAAAGTTAACATGCCATGATTACGTTCATGATAAACAATCAAGTCAATACAATTCCTTCCCAGCATCCGGGCTGTGCCTTCATCACATCCAGTAATCAACACTAGTCTTATACCGAGTTTTTGTGTCCTATATTTGTAAGGCCTATAAATACAAAATCTTTACGATGATGACGTAATGAGCGTGCATTTTGTAAATGCCAAGTGATAAGATTAAAAATTTCATTTTGCTTTTTCTATCGTTGCCCGAACCATTGTTGATAAATTGTCACTAAGGAATGTAGCTAAACATCCGTGCGTGTGACGGACATCAAGAATAACACTGATTACTAGGTTGAGGACAATATACACAAACAGCCATAATTATAAACAAGGTCTTCCCGTCTGACGGGATCGTGGTAACCTCAAACAATTGGCAAAGCCCGACATCCCACCGGCAAATATGAGTTTCCCAACATCATAAAGGTAAAACTAACACCAACATCCTCAAACCTGATGAGAATATGTTTGCTCGGTGCATTGTGGGGATGTTTCCTTGGTCTATTTGAGTCGGACTGCAAAGCGAAAGTGCATGTGCAATAACAGCCCACAACCCACTGTTTCTATACCCAGCAAGATATGGACGGAGCCCCCCTCCCCATGTCTAACCCCTATACACACCCTAGAGTATTGTTACCTGACACATCCCCTAGATGTCTTTGAAGAATTCCTGAGAATTTGATCAAACAATGACAAACACAAAGTCCCATATCTTGCTTCGTATCTCTGTTTCGCAAACCTCTTTACAATCCTGAATGACACCAACTCACTACATTAAGCTATTGTACCTGCTGCGCAAGAGACTATTTTGAAGGACGATTGCTAATAATGTTGACCTCGTGACATATTTCCAGAGACAAGTCAATGGAATTGTGGCAAGGTTGAGAAATGGGCCGTGCTTTAGATTTTATGCGTACTGCAGCAGCATGCAGGTATTATATAAATGATATACCCGTTGGTGTTTTATTGCATAAAATCAGAGGGTTCGCAGAGGACCCACTAAGAGGAACGTCTTCATATGGCAGGGAGGATTAGATTTTTTGTTTCCGAGGAACACTATTTGAAAATTATGCAGCTACCCCCGTCCTCTAAGCTTGACGGAGAGTGACCCCGCCCAAGTGGTAACATAACTGCACAGCGCACGTCATGCTTGAACTATCCACACAATTTCGCTCTATGGGGTCTGATCATTACGCTTGAACGACCGAAGTCTGAATTGGAATCGTCTTGAAGGTGAAGTGCGAAAGGTCGTGTATGTGCTGGACGAAACACTCCCTTTTGTTTTTAATATACATGTGCATTCAGTGCCCTTGCCGGATTTAGGTTCGCAAGATTTTTTTTCATTAAACGTTAAACTGATTCAGACCTGGCAAGTTTTCTTTCAAATGCAGTTTTTAGAAAAATATTTTCAAGCATTAATTATAGTATATTTTGAAACAAGCACAAGATTCTGTCTTTGGCCATGGCCCTATTTGTTTTTGGTTATCTAGTTTCAAAGAAGATCATTGACATGCATCTTTGTAGTTTCAAATGACGTTTGCCGTGTGGTTGACCTTCGGCTATTTCTAATGCCGCTGGAATTCCACAGAGCTTCCGTCGGATCCATGGGATACCCGTCAGACATTATTGACAGTAATATTTAAACCCCCGCATTCACAGACAACCAACTTCCACTCGGGTGTCAGGCCATGCCTACCGTGCACATACACACATCGGGCATAGCATCCTTTACCACAAGCACTGACAGTGAACAGGTGGCATTATGTTGGCACGCCCCCAATTGGTATTCAGGATGTGGTACTTCGTTTTCTACTGCCTCTCTGGTCTGCGTGAGGCGTTTTCTGTTTCCTGTTTTTCCACCGCGTGACGCTTGACATGCTTGATGGCATTAACCAGGTCGCACTTTTTGAAATACAACATAATCTACCAAGGTGTTTAAATCTCAATTAATTAATTCTGGCAAAGACTCGTTTTCGGAATTTGCTTTTTGCTTATTTCAAACTGGGGGCCAATAAAAATAATGACACACAGAGAAAAGAAATGAACGAGTAAGCCATACTACGGTCTAAATTTCCTCATTGTTCTTATACAAGTAGGAAAGTATATTTTCCCAAGAAATGTCGACAGTGCATGGGAACAGGCCCAACAAAGAAGTTAACTTCGTTTATCATCAAATTTTTAGCATCCCTCTGACCCAACAAAATTCACAGAACTGTATTAGCTGTGGAGTCTGCTGATCTGTTTCGATATGATTCTGTTACCACTTTTTAAAAATGTTTTTCCACCGTACTTTTTCAGACTAACTGCCAGTGCTTGTTCAAACAATCATTGTTGTCTAAAGGGGTAAAAAAAGGTACAGATACCTTTTTTCGTCCCACTTGTTTCTTCTTGCATATTTCCCGAAATAATTTGTTCCCAAATAGAAAGATCCTTCAAAGTATATTCCTCCATGGTTTCCAGGACTACCACCTTTCACAGTCCTGTATCACTTCTGTTGAATTTTGTGAAACTCTTGCCACTTTAGTGAATTCAGTTTTCTTTCATTGGAATCACTTGTTCAAGAGAGATGCTAGTTCACATTTTTAACTTTATAAATGTGTTCATGCACTACACATACAAACATCCATATTCAATCATGTGTACGCACCACAGAGCTATATTAAATTACGTGTATAACATGATGTCATGTACATGTACATGTACATATACAAGTACAGTACATGTAGGCCTACAGTCTACATTGTACATGTATGTGTCATGTTCATGTACACGTGGTTGGGAAGTTCCACTAAACGGAACATAATCCGAAATGGGGCGTGGCAACCACCCTGTAGCATCGTGGGTCCTGAGTTCATACAGTTTCCATTGAAGCATTTTCAACCAATGACAATTTACTTCCGTTGTTTTCATTATTGACAGGTCGGGGTCGAAGGGCAAAATGAATACTAATGAGGATGTGGCCGCCGCCAAGGCTGCTGGCGACGAGTATGAACAGAAGCGCGATCACGACGCCGAGGAAGACGAAGAGATGGCCGAGAAGGAGAAAGATCTCGCTGACGACGCTCCCTGGAAGAGAATCCAGAAGAATACCTTCACCAGGTGGTGTAACGAGCACCTAAAATGCGCCAACAAACACATCGCAGATTTAGACTTCGATTTTAGCGATGGGATTCGGTTAATCGCGCTGTTGCAGGTGCTGTCCCAGAAAAAGGTGCCCAAGCACAACCCGAAGCCGACGTTTCGGTCGCAAAAGCTGGAGAATGTCTCCGTGGCGATGAAATTTATGGAAGATCAGAACATCAAGATTGTTAACATAGGTAAGTAGCCTAGGCCCCAAGACAACCCATGTCAAATTATATAATTGTTATCTTTTTCGGAGAGATATTAAAAAGTGACGAAGATGTGGTGAAGTGAGATCAAATTGTGTGCTAAATTCGATATCTTTTAAATATTGTCTGTGTGTACGCGCCAGACTATTTGCCATTGATGGTGTATATTATTCGTGGTGTGGTACCCAGAAACCCCATTATTTATGCTCATGAAACGTGCTTCCGAGAGTGTTTCTTTCCAAATTGAAATAAGTTCATACATGTATCCAGAGAAGCACACTGAAAATCATGTTTAGTGTGAAAACAAGACTTTTTTATCTTTGAATTTGTAATTGGCCAGTGCCCAAACAAGAATAGGCCTAGGCCTATGTCATTATCAGTCTTTTGTTGTGTTTGTCACCTGAAAAACCCAGATAACGAGGTTTTGGGGGACTATTTAATATCAATAAAACAGTAAGAATGGGACAGTATGTGCCAGTTCGGTGTTTGAACAGTGGATGAAAACTCAGAAGTCAGTTTTGAAAATTGAACTAAAAGGTCAAACTCAGCAGGTGCGAACTGAGGACCTTGTCTTAGCTTCATGAAAATTTGGGGGAAATTTTGTTAGCTAAAGAAGCAGTAAGTTGGCCTGATTTTGGTAGCACATCCAGTACGTACATGTACATGTATGGAGGGTGGTGCCTGGCACTTACGAAAGGGGAGTGATTGAAGTAAAACAGAACGTATGAGCAGGGCATATTTCAGTGAGTTCATTCTTAAATAAGTGAAAACAGCATAAAAAGAAAAAAGTGATGCACTGTGAAAGAGAGAAAAATTGAAATGGAAGGGGGCGTGTCAGTTGCTCCCCCGTGGAGACTGGATGTGTACAGGTGTTTTATTTTTCTGCATAATGGGTCTTTTTCTGAACCCCCCGTGGAACATGTACATCATGTGTCTGCTACATGTATGAGTCTGCACTGTGCATAACTTTTTGGGCATTTTTCAAGGTCTACATGTACATTAGTTGATACAATTGAACAGGCAGTTGTGGCTGTTAGCACAAATGTTCATGTACAGTACATGCATGTACTGGGTACACATCAATGCCCTGTCTGAATTGAAGCCTTCGAGTGCAAGCCTTTCCAGTGCACCTGTATGCACATGGTATGGAGCACACATACATGTCACGAAGAAGTTCTTCGTCCAGAAAGGTTGCCATAGTAAACTACTGTTTACATCACATTGTGTACATTGTAATTAATTTTAACGTCCGGAAGATTATGTAGGGCATGTATGTGTACATATACAATGTACATACATATACATGTAAACTGATGAAGTTCTCATCTCTGTTTGTGTGAAATGTACATGTAAAATGCGGGGGCACAAACCTTTAAATATTAGTTTTGCTTGACCGGTTTTCAGATTTTGCTCACTGTGAATGGTAGGTTATTATATTGTACATAAATCAGTCATTTGAGTGCCGAAGCAGCCTATCCAAAGACTTCTCACGTGATGAGGGCTATAGTACAGGCTTTTCTTTCTGGCAGGTTCCAGCCTCAGAAGTTGAACAGTTATTGTTCAGGCTTTTGGGAATCCATTGAGATTAAATTCATGCCTGACTGGCAGTTAGACGGGATTTAAAAAGAAATCCTTTCAGTGGAATATATAAAACTCCCAACTTTCTTTTGCTTTTGTGTTCACTGAATTTGTGCAGCTGGCATGCAGTTTGAAGCAAGGTGTCGGAATATTCAGCAAACTAATTCAAGAAAGGCCATGCTGTATTCAGCAGCCATTGGTAATCCATATATTGAAAAATAGATGTGAATACTGCAACCACGCTCTTGGGTTGTGCCTTAGCCACATTACTACACTGTACATGTTTTTATAGTCAAACATTCGTCCAAGTCATTTGTGTATTTGGTTGTTGATTCAACCCAAGCAACATAAAATAACAAGGTAGAATAAAAACACAGAAATGTAAATACTCAAAATAAAAGAGATATAGACCTGGAAAAGAATACGTTTACATGTACAATAAGCATTAAAACAATGACAGTACAGGATGGGGAACCAGTAACAAATGCAAGAAATAATTCTAAACAAATACACTAAACAGAATTATACAAACAAAAAACTGGGTCGAGGAAAGCAAAAAGTACATGTACCGTCACCTGCAGGCATACCGGTACATGTATATACATGCATTCATTTAAATGTTTCAAGGACAAACACATGATGAAAATACCTTAAGTAAAAAAAAAAAAATTACAGTGAATGAGAATAAGCCACCTTTGTTTTAGAGGAATTGAAGCTCATTCTGTTTTGTACAGACCATTCTTGGTATCAGCCTGGTTAAACCAACACTCGAAGTGAAGAGGTTAAAGTATCCAGCTTCATGATTATACATGTACATGTAATTAGCCTTTCTCAAGATATGAAACAGATTCCAACTACATGTACATCATTGAATCAAGTTTCAAGTAAGTATTGCATAAATCACATACTTGTATTCAATCAAGTTGTGTACGTGTACCGTAGATTAGTGAGAGACTGGCTTGAATGACGTTGTTGCTGGCACATCACAGTTGCCCGCTAACCTGAAATTTCGTCACTAATCTCGTTCATTTCGAGTGAAGAAAGTGTCAGTCTGGAGCCAGTAAGGCCCTTGCTAAGCTCTGGCGTCTTCCCAAGTTAATTTGTTGCTAAAAATGACCTCAGGTTTCCCTAGCACAGGAACCGGGCGATTTACTCCTGATTGCAGGGTCTTCCTCTGGGAGTGTCAAAACAAGAAGGCGTCCTCTACTTGAGAGGATGTTTGCTTCGTCTTGCAGAGGAGTGTTTTTATTGAGAAAAAAAAACTACTTCCTTTTTTTGTGCCCAGCTATAAAAAGGAAACTCTGTTTCAAATAGGGAGATGTTTACACCCTTGTGGAACTGCTTATTTTATGAACTTTCCCAGGTTCTTAAAAATCCACAGAGGAGTAGCCTTAAGTACAACCTTGCCGCCGTAGTGTTACTCTGCGTGGGAATCAGTGTTCCCTAAAAGTATAGACTCAAAACACGGGGTTCTTGCACATTAGCAAATTTGTTGGAGGACTTGATCATTTTCCCACACGAAATACTCAGGGAAGTTAGGGACAGAAAACAAACGGGCATGAAACTGTATGAATGAAGCTTGAGACGTACAGTGTACTTACATGTATGTTACACTGTGAGAAGCAAAGGTAAGAACTTTTAGTGTCATGTTATTGGTAAGCCACAATTTTTCAGTAGTCCAAATGATACACTACGTAGAACATGTACACATACATGTGTACACTGTGTTTACAGCTACACTATTGTGTACTTAACTATTAAATTAAGATAATGCAGAATGTCCAAATGATACATGTTGGCCAACATTGTACAAAGTTTACAATTTACCCTGTCAGTTGGGTGACAGATTTCTTACAATTCTCTGAAAAGTCTGTAATTGGTTTCCAAAGCACTGCCGCTCTGACTTTGAGCGTGGGCGTTCAGCCTAGTCTTCCATTGGTTGACATCTGACCTGCTACTGTGCTCTGGAAGGTCAGACATGAATGTGTGGTTAATGTCTGTCACATTCTGGACTAACCTTTTGCCTTGTTCAGTAAGGATTTGGGAGGCATGAGTGGGTTCAGTTGGGGACTCCTACCTGGACAGATTTTGAACTAACTGGATCATTTGGGAGGTGGTTTGAAATTGGCAGTGAATGACAAATTCAATCAAATACATTGTGGGTGTGTGGACTGCATGCCACAAATAAACCAAAATAATGTTCCAAAAAACAACATATCAGCTCTTTTGTATACAGTACCTGTGAAGAAGTGATAAGGTTCACTTGGAAAGGGAGGCGTGGCTCAAAGGGTAACACAACAACTCTATGGCAGCGATTAAACTGATGAGCAGGATGGTTTAATGAAGAAACTGTCTGTGTATTATACCCAGATAATTAAAAACGGGGGGTAGTGACTTGCAATTGGCCAGGATACCGTAGCAATCTTGGGGAAACTATGCTTTCTGAACGGAATGGTGGAGCTGAAACCAGTGATGAAGTCTTGGAAATATATGGAACAGGAAACCGTGGTGAATGGGGAATAAACAGAAATAAATACTAATAAATTAGCTGGAATGCACGTACATGTGCCCATTAGACGACAACATAATTGTACATGTAACGTTGCAACAATTGTCCTCGATTAAGGCTAAGCTTTGTACTCTAAACTCCTCTATTTTACATACTAACACAAGAATCACTATATGATCTTATACTATAAACACTAAAGAACATACGGCTGTACTCACAATTGTCAGTAACGCACGGTAAGGGCAAATTTGGAGGTATGTTGATTGGATATGAGCTTGGTAAACCTGACTTTAGAACGGAATGTACGGTGCGAGAATGAGCAAACTACTGAGGGCACCCTACCAACTATTGTGCGGTCAGTAGACAGTGAGGGACTTTCTTACAGTACCAAAGTTATTTCCTACCTGACGGTAGACTTAATATACCTGCACAAAAAAAGTGTACCATGGTACGGTACATGGACAGTAAATTCATAATTTTTAATGTGGCAAACTTTTATATGAACTACATGTACAGTGGAACACCGCTATAACAAACACGACAGGGTCCACGCTAAATGTTCGGTTCAGCGGTTGTTTGGTGTAGCGAAATTAATTGCTGAACATTTCGTTGCCATGCTGAATAGCGCCCTGTCTTGTCTAACTGAAGTGCACCCTCTTGTGATACTATGATTTGCTGTTTTCTGGTTTTTTTGGCCGTTTGAGGTTTATAGAAATGTATCTGTTAATTATTTTTGTTTTTTATTAAATTTTGAGTTACAAAATTGATATTAGTTTATCCTAAAAGTCGTGAAGCTGCCGCTCAGGATCGATCTCTGATGCATGCTCTGGTGAATCTCGGTTGATTTGCAACTGCATAATGTTCGGTAGGTTTTGTGCGCAAAATATTGGGAGCCAAGGAC